CATACTTCTGAACTTTTCGAGTTTCGAGGCTCGATCTCGAATCGATTCGGTCCCAGAGGTTATACAATCGATTGGTCCAATATCGATACCGGTAACCGAGAATCGATCTCGAATCGATTCTTTCGATTTAGGGGCGCCGGTTCGATCCAAGGCTCCGGCATTTTTATGTATTTTCTATTTCGAAAAGTTGCGCACAATGGAACCACTGAAACCCGGCACCTGCTCATCCGCGCCCCTAGATTCGTCGCCCCTAAGGTACTCAATCCGCCCCTAAATTGCCCAATCCGCCCCTAAATGACTCGTACCGGCCCCTAACTTTTCAAGCTACCCGAGCGTCCCTGAAGCTTCACTGCAAGCATGTCACGTGGCTTTGTTGACTGCCATGACATCTTGAGGAAAACTCATGTGCATCACGCTTGACCCTGGCCGTCTGAAAGATACATGTTCGAACTTGACCAGCCACTGGCTTGAACGTTTCGAAACCTTGGCCGACGCAATGATCAATCTAGTTTCGCATCGTTGTGTTGAGCCGTGCTATCTACTGATCTTGGCCGGCGGCCAATGGCCGCCCTGAACACGTACTGAGCGTACTGAACTCCACCACGTAACTACATTTATTAGCTAAGCACACTGGTATGGGTCACTGAGACAGAAACTGTGCCATGTATGTCAGTCTCAGAGAAGCTGTAACGATAGCGGATGACTCATCCAACTTTAGAACGCATGTGGCATATTTAGGGGCGGATTGAGTAATTTAGGGGCGGGGCGAAGAATCCGGATTTTTGAACCTATGCTATATGCGATAACTATTAGAGTTATTAGGCTACTTAGTAGCCGCTACTAGGGATATTGAATTTGCGGTGTGGATTATGCTCAGAAATAGTATTTGGATAATCTTCTTCTGAATTACCGAAGAACAATCTCGAGGGTTCGTCGAGGCTCGAGGCAAACGCGCAATCTGACCGAACCCGGGGAATACCATCCTTCCGACCCGGGGAATCGGCATCTGCAGAATATCTGGCTGTCGCCGCAATTGGCAGCGTGCCACAGCAAAGCGATTCGCCTCGGGCGAACAGCAAGGTCGTGCGCGGATATTCAGTATCTCGCTGATGGAGTCTATCCGAGTCAGATAATCAGACAGCCTCCCAGTGCCTGTGGCTATCAACTGAGCGGTCTAGCCTCGACCCTTACTTTTTCTTCTCGTGGAAGTGCTTTGCTAAAGGCATCCTGAATTGTTGCAATAATATGACAGGTGCTGTAGACCCTATAAGTAACCCTCAATGCTGACGTAGAAGAGCATTTCAATGAATTTCGAGTTTCGAGGTGGATCGATTCCTCGAATCGAATCGATTCGTCTGCCCGCCGCAGCATCCTCGATTGATTAGCACCGAACAATCGATCGATTTTCGATATCTCGATCCAATCGAGCCTCGGTCCGATGTATGGTCTCTCGGCGGAGAGACTCTCTCCTCAAGTACGAGGCCGATTCCGTTGGCTATTCTGTGACCGATGCTCAGCTTTTGCGTGTATACCGTCGCTCGCTTTATCCTCGTCTACGCACCTTAGCCTCCACCATCTATGCTGGTTGTGACACCGTCGACGACCTGGCCAACAGACTCCACCGTCATCTGCGTCAGAACCCCGACTTCAACAAGAACTCTAAGTCCCACGGTACAGCTTCTAGGCCCTCTGGTGCTCTCTCTACTGACTCTAATCCGGTAAAATCTGCCGACAATGCTGGTCCCTCTCGTGCCCCCACGCGTGGCCCGCCGTTGAGTCAACCCCTGCGAGACTTTTGCCTTACCAACAACGTATGCATGTACTATGTCGCAAATGGGATTTGCCGCCGTCCCGACTGCCCATACAAACACGAGAAGCCACCTCAGTCTGACACTTCAACCACTTCATCATCTCAGGTTGTCAAGTCTTGCACTACTTTGTCTTCGAGCCCTATTCCTGCCCACTGCACCTTGCGCTGTCCAGCTTTCGGTGCTCTCCGTCTTGAAGTCGATACTGGTTGTACCCGCTCAGTCATCACTCATACTGCCGCTCTTCACTTACAACGCCACTTGCCATCATCGACTCTCACTCTAGTCGATCCAGTTGCTTTTGATACCGCTAGTCACGAAGGCGGCCTCATCAGTCATTGTCTATTGCATACGACCCTCACCGTCTACGACAGTTCTGGCAACCCCCACCACGTTGCTTGGTCGCCCTATGTTACTCATAGTCTGCTGGCTGGTTCCTCCGATGGACTCCTTGGTCGTGATGTTATTGGCTTCGGTCCAGATTGTACTTTGGTAGTACCTACCTCTACTGGTCCCGTCCCTGCGTCGATCCTTCTGTGTACTCTTGGTGACACTGTGACCCCGGTATCTACATCTCCAACTTCATTACAAGCTGTCCCACAAGCTTACAAACCTCCACCTCTTGACTTTGTCGACCCCGAGGCCCTACGCGACATGCTCTCTGTGGACCCTACCTTTCATCCACTACCGGTCGACTGGTCTCTAGAGACCGTGGTCTTCCAGACCCGTTGGCTGCGTCTTTCTCTGGTTCGCACTACCGCTGGTACATCCTTCTTCTACGTCGACATCTCCCAACAAGCCCACTCCTTCGCTCAGACTCTCCAACCCCCCGCTTGTCGCAAAGTTCACTATAAATGGGTCAAGTGTCCTGCTGATGGACGCGCTGACTGCGAGGCTAAGCTTCAGGCTTTTGTTGATACTGGTCAGTTACGCCCTATTCCCGACTCGGAGGCTTCCAAGTACACTACCAACTTCTATGGTGTCCACGGTCGTAAACGCTGGCGACCTGTCTTGCCGCTTATTGCTACTAATGCCTACCTCCGTGCCCTCATGAAGGCAGATCCTATCCCCAACCAGCAGCACAAGCTCCGTACCTGTCTCTCTCGTTTACGGTTGGCTACCACCGTGACCATCCACGATGTCTCCGACGCCTTTATGAGATTTAGGGTGTCTCCCGCTCTGGGGAGTTTCTTCCAGGTGTACTGGAGGAAGCGCTGGTTTCAGTTTACCCGAATGATTTACGGAAGTAGCATTGCTCCGTCGTGCCTCGAAGGTGGCATGAGCCACGTCGAGCACGGCTTGGTCCCTACACCCGACACTTTCCCACCTCCTCCTGTTCTCACCGACGATGGCAACATCGACCTTGTTCTTGACCAGCTTCTTGACGTCGCGGAGCCTGAGCCCGATCAGTGCTCTTTCATGGACGACATTCTCGACTTCCGTGCCGATACCACCTCTGCCGACATTCTACCCAACAAGTACGACGAGTATGACTTACCTCTTAAGTCTCAGGCTCTTACTGAGGCTTCCGCTGGGAAAATTGGTCTAATCTATGCGCTTCCTGCAAGTCTAAGCTAGAATGCTTAATCTAAGCTAGTCCTACAATTCCATGCAAAAAGTGCTGTTCCATGCAGTAAGCTGCCTAGATTTGCGATGACACCGGTGCTGAGTTTAGGGCCGACCTCGCTTCGCTCGGTCGGCTACAGTTTTCGTGTACTCTTATTTCACGATCAGGATCGAATGTAGTGGAGTCCACTACTCTTAGTAGTTTAGATTCAATTGATAATTAAACAGTCGCAGCTAGTTGAATAACGTTCAGTAGGGTAATGTATAACAGTTTGATTGGATAGAAACAAAATGAAATAAATGGATGAAATCGATTCAAATAAATCTATTTGCAACACAAATCCTGCTACTTGGTGGCACCACCAAGTTGGTGCAGTAAGATGACACTCATAGCCACGGCACCCCTCCGTGTTACTAGGTTGTAGCGATACGATTCGTAAGCCGCAACGAGCAGCAAGGATTAAAATCGGTCCTCCGGACTAGATGAATTCGCCGAGTCTCACTTGGACTGTTCGTCATTTCTACGTATTGTCACAAGTAAGAGTTGCGCTGACCGAATCGATCGTCGTGGCTCGAGCTTTTTACAAGAGCGCGTTCACTCTTCCCGCTACTACTGTAGCCTTAAAATCACCTGACACCCAACAGGCATTGAGCATTGCTAAACTTTCTTGTTGCCTCATTTAGCTGTCTCAACCTCTATTCTACCGTTACGGTAGTACGATGTGTATGATGTGTACGGTAGTACCGTACACATCATACCATTTACCTCATGCCCTTTACCTAACTTCAGCATTCATTCATTGCTTTTCTTACTCATTCATTGTTTTCTTGGGGAGCTGTCGTTGAGCCTCTCGCGCCCACTGGAGTCGGCGATGGTATGTTTAAGGGCGATAGGCCACTAGGCCCGTGATGCCCGGCACCAGTTACACACACACCTGACATCAGTGATGATCTTAATGGGAGTGACACCACTTTTAGTTCCTTGTCTGGATCATTTCCTAATGAATGTCTTGCATTGCAGAAAAGTTGTCACACCATCGGCAGCGGAGGATGATGTAGTGTGGGGAGTGAGACTTGGATCAATCCTTCGTGGCTGGTCATTCAGTAAAGTGTCAGCCCCCTTTGTGAAAGGCCTTCATTGATGTGTCTTATCCCTTGTGGCTAACCATTCAGTAAAGTGTCAGCCCTTTGTGAAAGGCCTTCATTGATGTGTCTTATCCCTTGTGGCTAACCATTCAGTAAAGTGTCAGCCCCCTTTGTGAAAGGCCTTCATTGATGTGTCTTATCCCTTGTGGCTAACCATTCAGTAAAGTGTCAGCCCTTTGTGAAAGGCCTTCATTGATGTGTCTTATCCCTTGTGGTTGGCCATTCAGTAAAGTGTCAGCCCTTTGTGAAAGCCTTCATTGATGTGTCTTATCCCTTGTGGCTAACCATTCAGTAAAGTGTCAGCCCCCTTTGTGAAAGGCCTTCATTGATGTGTCTTATCCCTTGTGGCTAACCATTCAGTAAAGTGTCAGCCCTTTGTGAAAGGCCTTCATTGATGTGTCTTATCCCTTGTGGCTGGTCATTCAGTAAAGTGTCAGCCCTTTGTGAAAGGCCTTCATTGATGTGTCTTATCCCTTGTGGCTGGTCATTCAGTAAAGTGTCAGCCCTTTGTGAAAGGCCTTCATTGATGTGTCTTATCCCTTGTGGCTAACCATTCAGTAAAGTGTCAGCCCCCTTTGTGAAAGGCCTTCATTGATGTGTCTTATCCCTTGTGGCTAACCATTCAGTAAAGTGTCAGCCCTTTGTGAAAGGCCTTCATTGATGTGTCTTATCCCTTGTGGCTAACCATTCAGTAAAGTGTCAGCCCTTTGTGAAAGGCCTTCATTGATGTGTCTTATCCCTTGTGGTTGACCATTCAGTAAAGTGTCAGCCCTTTGTGAAAGGCCTTCATTGATGTGTCTTATCCCTTGTGGCTAACCATTCAGTAAAGTGTCAGCCCTTTGTGAAAGGCCTTCATTGATGTGTCTTATCCCTTGTGGTTGACCATTCATAGCTCTTTGTGGTCCATTGATGTGTTATGTCCTTCGCTTATTTCCTATAGGGCAGTTCATTGGAATTGGTGACACTTTGCAATCTTCATTATGGCTGAGCTCAGTTCATCAGCCAAACGGCGGCAGCGAGCGAGACGAACACGGAGTAGCCTCTGGGAAACCGCGGTGATTAATACTCCAGCTCAAGTAATACTATTTGATGATAGACTATCATTTTGATATAACAACATTTGTAGTTATGGGCACTTTAGGGATGTAATACCGCTCCAAATAATGATGTCGAGATGGAGATTAAGGCATTGAGAGAACAATTGGCCATAGCAAAGGTCAAACATCTGGATTCCTTAGCAGTTATTATTTTCGGCGAAGTATTGGGAGTTCAGGAACGCGAGGTTGAGAACACCGCTGCGAGAACTCATGCCGAGATGGAGGTCAAAGCTTTGAAGAAAGAGCTGGAATCAGCGAAGGTGAACAACTCGAACTTTTGACTGTCGTAAGTGGATAAGTGGTATCCTAGGGGAATGTTACGGAGATCATCACCTCGTTGGCCGATGCTGAGAAGGAGATTGAAGCCTTGAAGAAAAAAGTGGTAACAGCGGAGGTAATATGTATGGCGTTCTCGACTCTTTTGTTTGATAGTTAATAATTTAGGAACGTGATGCTGCCTCGAGAAGTGCTGCCGAAAAAGAGATAGGGATTTTGAAGGACCAATTTGCAAAAGTGAAGGTGATAACTGGTCCTTGCCTATACTGCTGGCATCACTCTGATCAATTTACGGTCATCCCAAGTCCTGAGCATGTTCCCGGTGAGATGGTGAGGCTCTTTTATCTGTCAGCGAGACGCAGAGAGCGGTGAACTCGCTTCCAAGGAACGAACACGATCACTTCAATGCCAGCTGGAGGAAACCAAAGTGATATCACATCGAGGCGTTCAGTATTTTTGATGATAACTCCCTGTGTTAGCGGAGAATGTCGGAGCTTGCTGATGAAAACGTTAGGCATATTTCGGACGTATCCAGAGCCGAAGAAGAGACTCGAAGAATTATGGAGGATTTGTAGAAAACTCGCGTGAGTACAACATCGGGCTACTGAATAGCTTCACAACTGGTTCACTTTCAGGCTGAGGCATATGAGAAGATTACTGCATTGCAAACTCAGATATCCCAGTATGATAATCAAAACGTAATACAAATCGCTGGACAAGTTCACTATGCGGGTAATTGGTTGGACAGACCTCTTTCAGGTCCATGATACGCGGGACTCGGGGTTTCCTGGCTCTACCATGTCGAACCGTGCGGTAGGGAGTGGAGGCTCGGAAAACGTTGGCTCTCAATTCCTTACAGGGCCAAGAACATCCACGTAAGGTGTCGATCATGTAGCTATCTTTAAGATAATATCTTACTAGACTTGCATCATAGACTGTATCACATAGAGTGACGGGTGTCACAGATGGCCAATTCCTGTGTTCGGTTCCGCTGCTTTATAATTTGTACAGTTTTGTCGAATCAACCACCGAATGTGACGAATTGGGGTCCTCTCCTACAACAAAGAAGATATTCTCGGTTTGAATTCCAAGATCGGAATTTCTGCTATATTTTCCTAAATTCTTCTGCATACATCATTTTCCGTACTGAGTATTGAGGAGTCTCGTTTGCCTCGAGGATGTGATTCTCGGTAGACCTCGCTCCGTTCTGTAGATAAAAAATCGTGATAGTAATGGTTCTATCGGCTTCTACTTGTCATATTTCAGACATTCAGACAGCGCAACAAGTGCGATAATGGACGATCTGGATGACAGTAGTGTAGGTCTAACGATCTGTGATCCACAGGGGCGTCCATCCAGTGCCTTAGGATATTGCGTTGGAGAAAACTAAGAAGTTGAACTCTGGAATGATGCACCGACGAAGCAATTTCTTCGAACTGGAGGGAGCATTCGAGGACTCGCGTATAAGCCAGGAAATCATCGACTACATCAGAGAAGACAAGATACCCTCAAGAGAGTTCGTGTTCCACGGCGGATACTGGGGTGACAACTTCGCCTGCGTGATCGGCGGCGCGAGTGAGAAGTGCTAAGGATAGGCAATCGTTGTAATTTATAGATTAGGTATGCTAGCATCATTGCTCTGGTTCATACGCTCCATGCCCTCGGGTTTCCCATTGTACATGGATGCGCAGAACAAGATAATCCGTGGGAGTCAGAAAGTCGCATGGGTTGGATCCTCGAGAATATGGTAGCAACTTTCTACCAACCGAACTTCTACAACTCTATCCCTCAGGTTCGATGTTTCTCGTCGCCAGTACCGGCATACATTCGTCCCCTTCTTTATGGCTATCATTAACGAAGAATGCTACGACGTGTACCATCATCTGTTAGCGCACCTCGACACGTTGGTGAGAGCTTTGACGTTGGGTGAGAAAACTATTGTGTCCAGGTGTTTTGGGCCGATATAACTCCGCTGTCTCACTCCCACAGAATGGTGAGTAGTACTATAGAAAGCACCCTGAACAGGCACATAATCAGTGAATATTCGTCATTTAGGGTGTCTTCTGTAATGCTGAAGGACCTGTCATTTGTTCAGGTGAAGAATTGACAATAGATGATACAGAAAACCTCTCGGACAACGAAACAAGTGGGAACATCAGTCTCTCACAATTTCTTCTGGGGTATTGGCCATGTTTGTTTCCTGACAGGTATCGCCTCGCTTTTATCTGGAACTGATGAATCAAGCGAGGATGACTTTGATACCCTAACTGATGACGAATCGTCTTCTGGAGAAGAGGAGTCATGCGACAGCAGTGATGGATATAGCTCAATATACAGCCAAGCCAGCCAATTCGGCAATGATTCTCCTATCGAAGGAACTGAAGAGGCCGGTAAGGACCCTCGTTGTTTCCTAACGTGTATACGATTTGCATCTCGACGCGATATTGTTAGCTTATCGAAGATATGGTAGATCCCCTAGCATGGTCAGATTCTCGTACATCGGGATGTGGTGTTGATTCCGGTGAAGCGAGCGACACGAGCGATAGCGAGTATCAATTGCTGTTATGATTCTATAAGCGTAGGTTACATGTTCCTGATGTACGACACTTGTAATGACTTCTTCACTAAATGTTTCATGCTAAACTACTTATCGCGTTGGTGACTAGTGTGACAGACACAGTGTTACACACTGTGACAGTGTGCAGTGTGAAATGGTGTGCTGGTGTGACAGCACAGCATAGTCACACTGTGACTAGCAACTATGGTCTTATCGTATATTCGCACTGCGATTTCACTTTTCTTGTCGATAATATCTAAACCATCTCGCCAAAACCAGGTTGCATGGCATAGCCAATTGGCATAGAATTGGAGCCATTGCTTGGATTTGTAGTACTAGCTCAGATTAGCATGGATTGCATAGATTACTTCCAGTTGCTTAGATTAGGCGTGTTATGCCTTCCGCTGCGCATCCTATCCCAGTGCTTGGTATCGAGGTCATCGACAACGGGGAGTCTCTGCGCTACCCTTCTAAACCTGTCGATTCCATCCTCAACAAGTCCCTCGATTCACCGCTCACATCCAGCGGCTCCCTCGGTCTCCTCGGCACCCTCTTGCAAGAACCAGATTTCTTCGACTTCCACATCATCCCGGCCAAGAATCTTCTTGTGGGCCTTATTAGCAAGGCACGCGCGGTCCTTGATCATACATGGAGCACTCCTATACCTACTGATGTTCAGACACTTATCCGCGCTTGGGTTGACTACTTACGCGAACACCCACCGCAAGCTATCCCACGACGTATTCACACTGATCATGCTCTCGACATCTACGTCGATGCCTCCAAAACCATGGTGGCTTACGAAGTCCGTCAGTTTGACCGCCCTATTCTGCGGGGTCAACTCACTCTCACCAAGTCCCAGCGAAACCTACACATCAATGCCCTTGAGCTTCTTGGTATTTACTACGCCCTCGCACGCATCCGTTTGCTCGAGTTCGATACTCGCATGCAGTTCAATGACGTCCGTGTGTACTGTGATTCTCTCACAGCTGTGGCTATCGCTCGCGATAGGCGAGTACCTGGTGGTCTACACGAAGCTCTTACTCGTAAGTATCTCGAACTCATCATTGGTGTTTCTGGTACCCGTCAAGTTACTTACACGCATATCAGCGGTCATGCCAACTATGCTGACTCTGGTACTCGATCTACCTTGGTTGATGATATCCTTTCTGTTCGTGAAAAGTACAACTCAGTTGACAACAAGCAGGCTACCCCCGATCTCACTGCTTTCCCAGTGCGTAAGCGCGCTGATGCTTTTGATGATGATAGTATCGGTCGCCGTGTCCGGCTTCGCCACTCTGCTGCTCGGCCAGTTCCTAGTGAGCCTCCTACTTACCAAGCTCATGGACAAACTTTACCCGCCTCACGTTCTACTGATGATCTTCCCCCATCGGTACAGCCATCACCGACATCATCACTTGCACCTACCACTTCGAAGACAACTGACGACCTCCCATGCACTCGTCTGATCGACTATGCCTTTAAGCGACTTCCCGATGAATTACTACGCCGTCTTGAAGACCTTCCTTTGCTTGATGGTTTCAAGCAAGTCGTTGACGCAGACCTTCAGCAAATTTTGGTTGATTTGTATCACTCTACTTATCATGAAGGCATTTATGCAACGTACGCTCGTATCAAGAAGTTGTACTCCTGGCCGAACATGCTAGACAAAATTTCAGCTACTACTAAGTCATGCCTCTCATGTGCGAAATTGTTAACACATGCTGGTGACCTTTCGTGGAAACAACGACCTTCACCCCAAGCCCTACCATCTACCCCGTTTACCCACTTAGCTCTTGATGTCCACGGTCCTTACTTCAACACGTACTATGTCCTCACCTGCACTTGCAAGCTTACTACTTATCTTATATGCCGCGCTTTACCTACTGCACCACTGGCGAGCGATGTCATCGACCTTCTCAACAACATCACTTGTGTCTACGGTATTGTACCTACCGCTATCCGTACTGACAATGGTACGATTTTTCACAAGGCTGCTTCACAACTTACTCATGTGTCCTGGGAATTCACTCCTACTTATGCATCTGCGTCGAACGGTCAGATCGAACGTAAACATCGTGATTTGGCTCGTTTCCTACGCCTCGGTTTTCTACAAGCAGCTCCTCCGGTCGTGACATGCCCGGATCCTCACTATTGGACTCATCTTGTTCAAGTAGCCACCATGCGTGTCAACTTACTTGTCATTCCGTCTGCCCACAGCCTCTGTGCACGTGATTTGGTATACAACTTCCCTGCTCACGATCTCGTCTCTCTGACTTGTTACCCTCCTGTCCCTGACAAAGAGACTATCTGGCGCCAACATCGTCAACAAGCACTCGATCGTTCGTTATCACAAATACCAGTTTCACGTCGACAAATCCCACTGCAACCTGGTATGCCGATTTTACTCAGAGAATATCAACCTCGCAAAGACCAACCTAGATGGAGTGATCCTATTGAGATTAAAGAACTTCTAGGTGATAACAGACTCCTTCTTACAGATGGCCGACATGTTCACAGCAAAAATGTTAAGCTTCTCCCACGTACCAACGATGAGTTTAATGATGATGATGACTTCTTTACTGATGATGAATGATTCTCTATTCATTACTTTAAATCACCCCTTGTATTGACTATAACACAAAACGTTGTTAATTATTCATTGTTTGTGTGATGAATTTTATCATGATTATGTGAAACACCCCTGTGGTCTACACTTCATTAGGGAGGGGAGGATGTTGACCAATACCTTGGTCACTTACTCTCTTGCATGATTCCTTAATGTCGCACGAACATGGAATGTCCATGGAATCACGTGTTGTGTAACCCCTAACCCCTATCTACCTCCTGTTGAGCATCAGTCATGGCACAAAACGGACCCGTTGAAGAGCAGCATAGACCGAGCGGAAGTCTAGGCCATGTATATGTCGCCCTATATGGGACGAAGGCGAGCCATTCACCCGCTGATGGGTGAAGTTTAACCGCATTGAACGCACGGGTGAGATCAAGGTTGATCACATGTGGCTGTGCGCGCCACGCCATCAGGATCGCACTGATTAGGAGCTGACCATCAGCACTCCCAACTCTCAAGTTTTGATTCATCTCCCTTCCATCCACCGTGACCCTAGTCGAGGTTGTCGTCGATGTATCTCGGAAGACTGGTCGTAGAGCAGCAAAGTGTCGAACCCTCTGTGGATCAATAGCCTTGATCCTTTTGGAGCATGCTGTCGAGCTCCTCCTGCACCTTAATGTTCTGATCATCGCTAAGACTTCGCTCTAATGCCTTCGCTCTAGCACAGGCTTGGCCGAAGTTACGTTTCGGCCTCTCCTGGCCCCTCCAGGGTAGCGATACCATATATCTCCCTTCTACAGGGTCCTCAACCACCTCCAAGCTATCAGTGAAGATTGGTTCCCCTGCAACCGCTCTACGACGACTTTCTCGTAGACCCTTATCACCGTCATCATACTCATCTTGTAGGTGGTGCACGAGAGCACCTTGATCTAGCGATACGCCACACACCAATCCCATGGTCTCTTGCATGCACTCCTCACTGCTCATCTCATGTCCTTGCTGTTGCTGGCGCAGATGACCTTGGCCGCTCCTTACCACTGGAGACTGACTAGGTTGAGCTCGTACCACAGACCGTAACCGTGCATCCATCATAGAACCCAGCACCTGCTAATCATCATCATCTACTACACCATTCGCCGCTGTTTTATCAGCTGGGATTTCGGATTTCCCACCAGATGGTTGTTGATGTGAAAAGCGACAGCTATCCCCTCTGAAGCAGCTATTCTCCTTTACGAACTCACAACAGATCCCAACGGTTTTGCCACGGCTTGTTGTGATAGGACCAGAGTCTCCCTGAGCAGTCGGAGTCGATGTCGGATCTTGTTCCTTCTCTTCAGACACAGCATCATGCTTGAACTTGCATCGGTCCCCGTAAGTATAATGACCTCGAGCGAACTGTCGGCAAGGAACTTCTGCTACTGCTGGACGTCGCCGTTGTTGACCTTGTGGATTCTCCTTGGTTTCTTTTTGGGTTTGGTGCATCTTTGGTGAGACCCGTCACTGGAGCTGTTCGACGATGGCGATTTTCCCACACATCACCTCGAAAGCACAACGAAATGCGAAGGCTCGCCATATGGCGGTCATCTATTAGCTGATCTTGTAGCCCATCACCGAATATTGCAGAACCGCTTAGCTGCGTAAGTGACACCACGAACTGTAGTTGAGTCATATATGTCGTCACCAACTCGCTATAGGGATGGGGTGGCTCTCCTCGGATCCGGGGGCTGCGTCGGATCCCGGTAGAATGTACTAGTCCCGAGAACTCAACGTCCATTGGAGAGTGACGAAGACTAGTGAGTATATAGAAACACTGAAATAATATCTATTGATGGCGATCTAATGACTCTGGTGTTATAACTCAATGAACCACAATCCTTATTCATCGGATCGGGCTTCTTAGGAAAAAAGCTACGTACTCACGTGAATATCGATCACGCTTTGTACATACGTACTGCCAGGCTCCTTGTTATCTTGAGCCCTTCTCAATCATATTTCGCAGGAGTGCGACATTCGCATTAGTATATAGTAGAGATTATCTTTATTTTTCTAATCTTTCTTATTTTTTTTATTTCTAGTGATTTCAATATTACTGACAGTTCAGATATGTACTGACAAATTCATTCAGAGCCTTCGAATGGCGCTCCAGATGATGTTTACGCTGTAGACAAGGTTAGTTATAGGTGCCGTGTTGACGGTATTATCTGCTCGTTCAGTGCAAAAGGTTCTCCGTGATCGTTATGATGGGGCCTCGAATCGGCTAGGCAGTAGTATGTTGCCGTTGTGACGTTTGTTAGCTCTTCCTTGTGTTTTCTTCAGCATCCGTTGTAACTAGATTATCCTCGGCCTGCGTCGATACCTTCGATACCGTCTCTTGTCTTTATCTCCATCGTGATCACTCTGTTGGGAATTTAAGTCCACAGTCATAGGCATGGAAATAGAGTCGAGTGGATAGTGCAAAACGGCAACTGAAGATGTGCGCTTGAGAATAGATGAGCCCTCATCAACAGAGTCCCCAAGTGATATACGAATGAATGAATATATACGAGTATATACAATTATCATCGATCATTCGCCTATCCTGGGCGAGCGCGCTTATCTCTCACCAGGGTGAGACATCTGCTTTATAATTTACGGATTGCAGTTGGGTTAAATCCCTTATCCTAGAATGCTTGTGAGATGATCCCCACGAGTAAGACAGGGCTAGTAAGTGTCGTCTCACACTTCTTCTTCCACCATCACCACCACGAGCTGAGGTATCTTTACCTTGTTCGACTACTACGTTAATACAGTGTTGCACCTATATCTAATTATGTAGTAGGCCTCTTCATCATCATATTCATTATTACCTATGGGTAGTACGTCTCCAACCCCCTCGACCCCCTATGAGAGGGATATAGGTGATGTTAGTCATCATGGATATCGTAGTAGTATGGTAATTGATAATAACAACCATACCAATCATGAAGTTGATTATCATCATACTGAGGAGAAGAAGAAGAACCCCTTAGGAGATCCCACAGTGAGACTAGCTGGAAGGGATAATATATCCAAGGCCGCAGCTGAGACTCTCGCATCATCATCATCGATGACGTATGTATTACGGGATTATGGGAAAAGAATAAAGGCCGAATCATTACCTCGTCAAGAAGATGGTTTAGCAGCAGCAGCACCTCTTGATGATGATGCTATAGCTCATTGTAGAAGAGGCAACATAGGTAACATATCATACTCATTATCATCATTAGCATCGAGTATTGATAGAATCTTATTAGATAATAATGGCCTATCATCACCAACATCATCTTCACCACCAACATCATCATCATCATCACCAACATCATTAACATTATCTTGTCATTCTACATCTGATGATGATTATACTGGAGGAGGAAGTAAAGACCAATCAAGACGGTCATAACATTGATGATGATCATAGTCTTTAATAGGTGAATCCAATGTGTCATCATCATCATCGGTAACAACAACAACAAGAACACCACCTTATATTGAGTATGATGATAGTAAGAGTAATAGTAGTAAAGATGTTGTTATAGCAGAATATTATGATACATCATCATCAGAATTAATGGATGATATTGATATTGAGGAGTTACTATTACTACAAGATGTTGTTGATGATCCAGTATGTGTTAGGAGAAAGGATAAGGTAATAATTATTATTAGTAGATGATAATCCTATTATCATCATATTATTATTATTCAGAGATCGTTCTTTATTGGTGTATGTGACTTTGCATTTACATCAATGTTACTAGCTGGAGCCCCTTCAATATATCCGATATATTACACAATAAAGCTTATCATATTGATGCCATTTAGGTTTATTACTTACTACAAACGTAAATGGCATTTTTATATGTTAGACTTTTGTTACTTTGGTAATATATTAGTATTATATTATTACTGGATAATGCCTTATTCCTATATTCTATTTATTATCACTTATGCACTGGTAACAGGTCCATTAGCATGGGCTGTATTGGTATTCCGTAATTCATTAGTATTCCATTCTATTGATAAGATAACTTCGTGTTTTATACATCTAGGACCATTATTTATGGTAACACTATTGAGATGGCATCCTGATGATATGAGTAAAGTATGGTATTATTTACATCATCAAGAAGATGGTATGATGAATATGATAAATATGGATCATACTACTACTACTACATCGTATAATCAATACTTTGCGGTAACACTACCGAGTGATACTAATGGGAATACATCATCATCATCATTATTCCTATTATTGATTGTTGTACCAATATTAGTATATCTAATCCATCTATTACTCTATGGATTTGTTACTCATTATATATTCCATATACAAGGTAATAACTCAGAATATGCAACATCATATTCACATCTTGTGTCATTACATGGTGATTTCCTTAAGAGATGTAGTAAATATATAACTGATGATAATATGTGGTTATGGTATGGTATAGCCCAAATAGTACTAACATCAGTTACTATATTATCATCATTCATATGGTATAATATGAGCGAATGGGTAAACTATCTACTATGTGTTGCATGTTTTATGGTTACTCTTTGGAATGGTGCTAACTTCTACGTAGAAGTATTCGCGAGGAAACATATACGATCATTACAACGTGAAAAGACGCTAAGAAAAGATGATAACAAGAAGGGCAGTTGTAGAGTTATGATTACTACAACGACCGATGATAATGGATTGAGAAGAAGAAGAAGAAGAAGAAGAAGAAGAAGAATGGTTCATAATTCCACAAGATGTGGTAGTAATGATGATAAATAGTCATTGAATAGTAGCGTACTTTCGGTTGAGTACTTTCTTGCGTTTATTGAGTTCATGACGTAATACTATACTATTATTATTAATATACTGGAGGACACACACCATCACACGTGTGATGGATATATCACCTACTTCTATACAACCTAACACCACTACCAACAATCTAATATCATCATTGCCTCCGATATACATCATAATTCCTCTGAGGTATCCTGCAACCATGAGTTTAATATCGAGTTTATCAATGAACCTGTACTCTTTGAGGAATACCCATTACCAATATTGTACATCATGTAGATGATGATATACTGAACTACGACTATGCGATACATCAATTAGGATCGACTCGACAATTAGACAGGGTAGATAGCCACCATTGAGTGTACCCATTATTCATGTATAACAACACAAGCATAATAACATCATCATGAGAGTATTATAGACTACCACATGTACTATATCACAATACCTTCCTCTTCTTAATCATCATCATAAGAGTATTAGACTACCACATGTACTATATCACAATACCTTCCTCCTCTTAATCATCATCATGCATACGCACACATGCGTGCAAGATATGTGTGCGGCCATCCCACGGAACTTAACCTTCCGTGTTTCCATGTGGAGCAGCAATGCACGATTGGCCTGATGCGCCGACTCGGGGGATGTGTGCCGGGCCCGTATCGGTGTGCAACAAGTAAGACCTAGTTCGCATCATGCGGTCCCTGCCACATAGAACCTTCGGCGCATTCGCAGGTTATGGATACCCCGATTGCCGATCTACAGATTAGACAATAAGACTACTAGTCTGAGACGAGTGGCAACGTTGAACGTTGCTTGATTGGCAATCTCGCGCACACTTGGAAATCCAACCTTCGCTGAATGGCGCCCCGGTTCTCCAATCCCACACTCTCGAGTCGGAGGGGCTTTCAGTGATTGAGAAGCTATCGGGTCGAGTTCTCATTCAGGTGATTGATAGGACGTAAATTGAGTCTTCTATCGATTACACGGGCGTGCGCGATCTGCTCCGACAAGCGAGGCGTCTCGTCCCTCCCGCTGCCGCTCAGACGATAGGATCGGGATTAGTGTTGATAGTAGTTGTTGTTGTTGTTGGTATAATTATGGTATATCGTGGAGGACAGCAGAAGGGTATTAATGATGACGTGAAGAAAACTAATAAGGTAATTATAAGGATTATGATGGATTATTAATGATCATCATACACAGATGACAGCTATTAGTAAGAAGGGGGGTAAGAAGAATAAGAAGGAGATGTATAAGAAGAATGGTAAAAAGGAATCAACCAATGCTGCTAACCGGCTAAGTAATATTATCATCATGTTATTTTTATTATCATGTATTATTATTACAGAGGATAATACTACTAAAGATTCGGTATCACAACAGAGACGTGTAAATAAGGAGAAAGCTATAAGGAAGCATGATCCTAATTGGGAGGATCGTAGAAGGCTTAATAGGCTATATTCAAATCTTATTAATAATACAACTTCTACTAACACGACTAACGCCGCCGCTGCCCACCATGATGATGTGAATGATAATAAGAAAAGTGATATCGTTGAGGATATATTGAAGGAGATGATGACTAAGGGTATTAATAATTATATACTCAATCATTCTGGTAGTAGAATAGTCCAAGCTTGTATGAAGTATGGTACAATGGATCAAAGGAAACGTATATTAACAACATTATCTGGAGAAGGTTTGGAAGATGCTATATTACAGGGTAAAGCATATGGTATGTTGGCTATTGAAAGATTAATATCATATGGTATTAAAACTGATAAGAAATTAACTATTAATACTATATTAAAGCCATTATTGGGTGATAGAAAGATAGTAAGTATAATAATATAAGTACATCTAATGATGGTTATTATTATTATTAGGTTGAGAGATTATTCATACATCGTGTTGGATGTCGTTTCTTATCTACTATGTATAACAATACTAAGATACCTTCACAATATAGACGGTAGGTGTGTCTTTATACACAATATAATAATCATTATTATGATGACGCTCTTAGTCGGATATACACTATTATATCCACTCCAGCTGTATATGATATTAAAGCAATGACTAATGATGATGATGGTGGTGTTGATGTTGATAATATGGATAATAACAAGTTATTAGATCATAGGATGAAGGTAGTAGTAATAGTGGTTGTTGTTATTATTATTATAATCCTTATTATTAGTTATGTCGTAAAGCTGTTGATAAGGAGTTATTGGATAACGGTTCATTAGTACATAAGTTATTCCTTTCAACATTGGAGATATCTGATGTTATTGGTAATACTAATGATATAATAAAAGAACTATTACAGCTAACTAATGAGGGTGCTACAAGGTAGTAGTAGTAGTAGTTGTAATAATAATAATAATGATGATATTATGACGTCTTTTATTATTATTAGGTTATTATCATCAAGAGAAGGAGTATTAGTATTCTGTCGTATGTTCGGGTATGCTAGTGCTAAAGAGAAGAAGGTACTTATTAAGGAGTGTAAAGGGAACTTTAAGGCATTAGCTATGAATCCAGTTGATGCTATTGTTCTTATACGTATGTTACAATGTACTGATGATACGGTATTATTATCAAAAAGTATATTACAAGAGTTACTTACTACTACTACTACTAAAATGGAGGATGAAGAGGATGGGAATAATAATATAGAGGGTATGATGGTAGACCAATATGGACATTTGGTATTATTGTATGCATTGGGTGAGAGAAGGGATAGATTCTATCCTCATTATTATAGACATATTATGGAGTTACCACGACCATCCTCTGTTAAAGATGATGAATTGAGGCGTAAAGAGGTATTAATAGGAATATCTGCAGTTAGAATAATGGTATATATTATTAGATACGTAATAAGGTTATGAATACTATGAAGAAGACTGTAATGAACATGGATATAGGAAAGTTATATGAACTTATCATTAACAGATATAGCAGTGTAGTTCTACTATATCTAGTATGTTCCTGTGGTAGTAGTAGTAGTATAGATGATAATGATACTACTACTATTATTGCGAAGATTATAAAGAGTATATTAGTACATGATAATAATGGTGATATATCTGGACAGATAGTATCCTTTATACTCGTATTAATACTTAAATCCAATTCTAGTCTAGTGACTAACACTACATGTAGTACCTTGAAGATAGAATACCTGAATAATATGAAGATAACACAATTGTGTAAAAGTAGATGGGCATTTATTCTAAAGGCTATGTTGAATGTATTATCAAGAATGGATAGAAGATGGATTATTGATAAGGTAGAAGAAGAAGGTGGAATTGATGCCATTAATACTTCTATTAAACAACAACAACATGAGGTATTAATAGTATTATTGGATGTTAATGTGTATTATCGTTATTGTTAGGATGGTAGTAATAAAGCTGGCCAAGCTTTCCTTGATACCCTCATTACTGTTATGAATGAAAAGGATACTGATGAGGAAGAGGAAGAGGAGGAAGTGAATGATGGTATGGAAGAGGAGGAGGATGATGAAGAAGAAGAAGTTGGTCTAGCCAATGATGATGAATAGTTCCTCTCCAACGTTATTTCCATAACTATTGTATTGTGTACATTAACCAACTTTAATATACTAATAATAATGGAGAAAGGACAGTAACAATAGATAGATAATGATTACCAGGAGTACAAAGCCTATATACCATCTTCTTGTTTATTCACAACCTTATCTGGATGACGATTTTCGAATGGATGTACCTGATAATAATAATCATTACCAAGTAATAATAGTAGTTATATTACCGTAATCTCAACATCAGCTATAAGATGTGTTGGTCCTGCAGCCAATATACGTTGTACAGATTCTCTATCTTTCATTAAGATAAATCCTAATGATGCTGGACGAGAACGTCCTGTTGTATTACTATTAGGTCTAAAGGTATATTAATCTTATACAAGATTGTTATTGTTATTATTACCGATTATTCCTTCTATTATTATTAGATGTACGTAATTGTTTAGAATGAGCAACCAAAACCTTCCTAACTTGACCAAAATCTTCAAAATATTCTCTTAAGAATACTGGTGAACGGAAACCAAATTTATGTATACGACGTACTATGAAGATACATGATTCGTCCTCTTCATCCAATTCTTGTAGTAATGTCCTATATACCAACAATAATACATAATATTAATACTATTACTACCTTAATGTTCGTCCACTACCTTCGTTATTAGCTACTACCTCTTCTCTACTATCATCAATACCCTTCTTTAGCTCCTCTTGTTGTTGCTGGTCATTACGTGATATATACATACCAGGTGGTGGTGGTGGTGGCTGAACATATCTTGCTGTATTATTTAATGTAGCATATGATAGATTATCAGGATCCATTAACATCTACAATAGTAATAATAATGTTAATACCGTTAAACTAGAATAATAATCATTATTATTACAGGTGCCTGATTAGTAGCATTAAGAGAGGTTGTTCGCATTATCATATCCGGACACCCAAAACATCCTGGTGGTATGCTAGTCTCATCATTAGTATAGTCGATTGTCGAGGTAGTAGGAAGAGGAGGAGGAGGAGACACTAGATAATGATATGGATAATATATGAAGTAGTATTATATTTATTATTACTAGTCATAGATGCTGTAGATGATGATGATGTTGTACGTCGTAATAGTAGTGGAGGCATAGATGATGGTGGTGGTGGAGTAGATGGGGATGGAATCATTACATATTCTGATGATTGTACAGAACTAGCTGGTGATGATGGTGTTATATATCCAGGAGGATAATATAACTAACGAAGACTGATGATGACCTCTAATGTAATAATAACCATTACTTGATTAGTAAGGTGTGGTGCTCCAAATGATCGTACTGATGCTGCTGGAGATGATGATGCTTGTGGTAATATATACATATCTTCATAAGTTGGGATGTTGTAGTTGATAGTAGTAGTAGTAGGAGTCGATGGATAATACATCGGTGACTGTGGTGGTAGAGGTAGAGGAGGAGGAGGAGAGCTAGAATAGGTAGTAGTAGGATTAGGAATAGTCTAATAATAAGCAAGTAGATGGTGGTGGTAAGTATCGATATTACATTATATTGTACAGATGATACTGATGCTGCTGGTGATGATGGTGTCACCATATTGTTGGTAGTACTAGTAGTAGTCATCATACCCTAATATGACCATTAAACATGATTAGACCATCCTCATATTACCTTATTATTATAATATAAAGGTAGATATATACCAGTATAGGGTGGGGCTTGGGGTGGTGGTGAGGGGAGTGTAGTAGTAACCATCTGTGGTGGAGATGTTGTAGTACTAGGCGATGATGATGACTGTAACGATGCTGTAGATGGGCTCCTCATCATATAGGTCATTCTTGCTGGATGGGAGGATGATGATGATGAGCTGTCAGTATTCATCATGCTAACAACAACAACAACAACAACAACAACAACAACAACAACTGTAGCTGAACAAGTAGTAGTAGTAGTAGCAAGAAGCAAGGATACTGGGAATGTTAAGGATTTGTAAGTTTGCAAGATATGTAAGCCTAGTCGCGAGGTTTAGGATTTATATAGTACTCCAGGCATGATAAATATTAGGCTTCTGGGTGGTGGTATAAACTGCTGATTATAACGGGAATCTGGAACATAGAAGTGCCCACCCATCATATAGTTGTTAATCTTTTTAATATAATGAATAGAAGTGCATCACATGCAGGTAGTTGGTAAGTATTAGTGTCATAGTCATAGTCTAACTATTACCATTCTTAGGTATGATGCAGATCCTCATACACTTGAAAAGGAATTAGATCAACAATTCTTTGCTACAACAAGAACAAGAAGAACAACAGTCGATGAACAAGAACAGTCTGAACAGACTGTACTCTCTACTACGACTAAGGCAATAATAACACCACATGCAGGTAAGAGGGGAGGAGGGATCATATAAGGGTTCCTTATTATTACTATTATAGGGTATCGTTATTGTGGATCGGTAGCTGCTAACGCCTATAATACTATATCTGATAATGTAAGTAATAATAGATTATGAGGGGATATTAGTGGTATAATATCAGGTTAATAGGGTATTCATATTAGGACCATCACATCATCAATATTTGGATAATTGTGCATTACCACATCCATCTATTCATCAATATGATACACCGTAATAATAATAACCATCTTGTCCTATCCTCATATATTCAATAGATTTGGTCCATTGAAATTGGATGAGGATGTCCTTGGGGAATTAAGAGGTCTATCGAAGAGTAGTAATAGTGGTGGTGAATTTGGTACAACTCTTACTAAAGAGGAGGTAATAATAATGAGCAGGTCTTATTATAGTTTATTGTAGTAATCATCATGGTTAGGATGAAGATGAGCATTCTATTGAGATGCAGTTACCACTAATATATCATCAACTTAAGCACCGACTGGTACTATTATTACTACTGCTGCTACTACGTCGTAGTAGTAGTAGTAGTACTGCTACTGTATATTGTCTTATTGTTATTATTAGGGTATACAGGATCTCACTATTGTGCCCATTCTGGTTGGTGTTCTATCTCCTAATGTAGAGAGGGTTGTTGGCAGACTACTGGCCAAGTATTTCAAAGATCCTGGTAGTAGTAGTAATGATGATGATAGTAGTAGTAGTAGTAGTAGTAGTAGTAGTAGTAGTAGTAGTAGTAGTAATGGTGATGATGATATAGCATAATGAATATAATAGGTACACTGTTCGTCATATCAAGTGACTTCTGTCATTGGGGTACAAGGTTTAGATATACTCAATTACAGAAGGATAAGGTAGGATGGATAAGAAGGGGTATCATATCTATTATATCTATTATTATTAGGTCAAGTTAGCTGTGAAGTCAATAGTGTTTGATGTAATATCATCATCAATTATTATCATATTTAACTATTATCTTCTTAGCCGAATACACAACCAATAAATGCTGGTATAGAGGCTATGGATCGTGAGGGTATGGAATTAATAGTAAATCAGGACTCTGAAGGCTTCAAAAGGTAATAATGCTACTACTACTACTACTACTACTGCCACTACTGCTCCAATCTACTTATTGGTGCAATAATATCAGATATCTACAGATGACTGGTAACACAATATGTGGTAGACATCCAATCAGTGTCCTTTTGGAGATCCTTAGAAATGTCAAGTACGATGTTTAATATTAGATATTATTATTGTTAGTATCAGGGAGGAGTACACTATCAAGTTTGTGGATTATAATCAGTCCACTTTATTACCATCAGTCCCTTGTGAGTCCCTAATATCATTATTGTAATATTATCATCCTATCAGGTCGAAATGACAGTTGCGTCGCGTATGCGGCAGGAGTTGTGGACAAACAGTGATACTTGAACATTTTTCCATTATGTACAACTTGTATTGTTAATTATGCAAATGCTGCTTGCAATATTACCACCTCGAATATCACCCCGGGACGATGAAATACATTACGATGTGAATACCTCAGTGAAAGGTCATAGCGACTTCCTTTTACCTTACGTTTTCACTATCATCAACACCAACACTCATATAGGGTTACAACTGATGACTGTTCAAGCATGTGAATAGCGATAAGCAACATACATACGATCATGTAGAATGGAAGCGGCATGGAGTAAGAGCCTTGGTGACACATTACACAAGGATAACGTAATCCTTATCAATAACATACATTGTATAAACACGTCTATATCCTCCAGGTATAGTCTGAAAATAACACTACTACTGTAATACCAACACAACCCCAACACTCACGACTACTACCTTGAATAGAGAGTGAAGGTAGAAGGGCTGCTGCAAGTGGTAGTAGTAAGGTCGATTAAGAGTGGTACTATGCATGAGCCTGTTGTTGATAGTAATACCAACAACCAACTGGGATAATGATGATGACTATTAATGTGATTCTGATAGAATGATGATCTACTTGAGTACCATACCACCTCATACTTACTCCTATTATATCCCTCCTCAACAATACACTGCTCTTGATGACAATAACCATTATATGGGTTAATGAGAGTAGTGAGGGTAGTAGTAGTATTATTATCATCTTGTACGATCAAGATGATAACACTAACTGTACATACTAGTAGTATGAAACACTTATCATGAGAGGTATATAGTCACCTTAGGTTTTATCCTCAATAGAGATCCTCGACTACTACTTCTACTCTCTATCAGTAGCCTATGACTATTCCCTAGATATGGTTAATAGGTTTATACAGCTACCTTCGTGATACATGTTAATACTACTACAAGGAAGGCTAGAAGAATATATACAATAATAGTAGTATTGACTAGAATGGAGTTAACCTTGATACGAAGGATGATACTATATATGATACTACTGCTAACCTCCCTACATCATCCCGATAGGTATTCACTAACATCATCCCAGGTCATCATCATCATAGTAGTAGTAGACGTGATATATTAATAACACAATGATATAATGTGGTAGAAAGCAGTGGTTATTATTATGATGATGATTACGTATGAATGGGGATTATTATGGTTCAGAATAGTAATGATGTTACTACTATTGATAGATTATCTCTAGTAAACCAAATGAGCAACAACAGTAACAAGAACATAATCATCATAGATAGCTCCTTCAATATCCAACAAGACTATGGTTAGATCACTAAAATGGCAACATCCCATTTCTCATATAATATCATCCTATCCTTATTATTACCTTATCACTACTATTAGTGTTGATATGATCTTCCTCATTGCATAGCATATTGAATGTATCAGAATTAGCCTTTAGGAATTGTAATTGCAGTTTGGATAAAGCTATACTACTATCCGATAGTAGTGGTTTCCATACCTAACAATGTAATACTAGTAGTAGTAGTAGTAGTAGTAAATAACAATAGCACTAGTATTACCTTTCCTAATATGGTGGTTCTAGTATTGATGACCAATGATCTACCCTCAGATGTATCAGTAAAGTAGTTGTACATAAGAGTCATTAGCTTCTGTTGGGCTCTATCAACAATAATAATACAATAAGAATACCAGGAAGAATAGTTATTGCTTACTTCACTTCCCGCTCGGCCATTATACTTAACTTTAACTTTTCCGTTTTACCACCAACCGGCACCAACCCTGCTATGGTTACCTAATAATAGTACTATTATATGCTGCAGCTGCTGCTACTGTCAATGATCATCAATGTTAGACAGTCTATGTCAATACCTTAGTATTAGCACCAGCATCATTCTCGAATAGAGCCACATTAAAGGTAGTCGTAATATGGACCGAAGATTTATCAGGAGTATAATTGGATAATACATCGTCATCATTACCGGTGATGGGGGGGATTGAGTATTCGAGTACCGCAACCTGCACAAGATAGTATTAGTCTTACTCCTAGTAATAGTAATAGAAGAGGTGGTGGTTGTTATTAGTACTACTACTACCTTACTAGCTGATATCTCCTTCATGATACTGATGATAACAGCCTCACGCTTCCTCATAGTACCATAACCCTTCATATGTACAATATACATCTTTATCGAATCCATACAGTCATGATGATGATGACTAGCCTTGGTTATAGCATCAGTAGTAATATCTTCAGCACTATCAATACCAATATGATGGGCAGTACGGAAGTGTGGTATATCTTGCCATATAGTAGCTAAGGTTAAAGGGTCAATACCCTGAAGAAGTGGAGAAGGAGTGGTAGTATGATGATAATAGTGATGATAATGAATATTACCTGTGCCTTACATGTTATCCTATAAGGGTCTATTACCTCACCCTCAATCTTCCTTCTCCAAGTAGTTAACTTGAACATACCACCATCCGATGATGATGATGTGTTGTTATGATGATGCCCAAAAGGGTTATGTATAAATGATGTAGTACTACTACTACTACGAGTAGTAGTACTTGCTAGAGTCCAATTATCATCGAAGTTATTATTGATGAATACAAGGGCCGTAGTAAATGCCTGACCATAATAATAATACTACTACTTCATATCAAGTATCCTCATGATGATAAACAGCAGTATGATTATTACCTCTAATATACCATCAGTAGTGATAGCTTGTGAGAGTGTAGTAGGCATAGATGATAATGGATGTGTTGTAGTAGTATTAGTAATAGTAGTAGTAGATAGAGATGGTACTCTAGCTCTTAAGCCAGGGAAATTAGCTATCATACTTCTATATGCAGGAGATGCTCTAACTAATACACCAGTTAATAATGGTGTTATATGAGTATGGACTTCTTGCCATATCCTAAACTCTAACTTCTCAGCAACCTACATCAGCAATCACCATTCTAATGCTAGTGCAGTATGACTAGTAGTAGTCATATTACCTCAGCCATAGCATCCTTATTACTAAGGAATGCCTCTAGATCAGGGAATATCTCAGGTACCTTTTTTAATTCCTCATCTAATAGGAAGGATGGTAGTAATACTCTTGATGATGATGATGAGGTAGTGTTAGTAGTAGTAGTAGTGGATGATAGGAATGTAGCTGTAGTTATCTTAGTCCTAGCTGTTGGTAATGATTGTAAACAATATACTCTATAAGGGTCTAGTCTAGCTGCTTTCGGATCAACCTAATAATAATAATACAACTACTATTATCATCATCATAATAATTAACCTCCTATTATTACCTGTGCCTGAGCTGATGGTGTAACACCCCATTCTACCAATAATAACCTATCCTCATCATTAGTATCATCATGATTACTAGAGCATGGTAGAGTGTGTATATGACTACAATAGGTAAACTCTGATAATGGCATAGGTGGATAAGGTGGATGCCTTTCATAGTATACTAATGTATTAAGATCTACTTCATCCACTAATACAACCTGATCATCAGCTACTATCAATGATAATGATGATAAAGCTCATTGTTGTTGTTGTTATTATTACCTTGCCAACTCCTGCCTGATCCATAAGACTAAGTTTAAAAGATTTACTCTGTAATACTGCTCCTAAGAGTAATGGATCTATGTTTGATAATACATCACTACACTTCAATGCAGGACCATACCGATATCTAACAACAACATATATACATCATTATTCATAATAATACTACTACTACTTCCATATCATGCTACTACTAGTACTAGTAGGATGATGATTAGGAGAAGGGGAAGGTGTGGTAGGGCCAGATGATGGTGTATCATCATTATCCTTATTAGTATGTAAAGCCTTATCTTCTAGTTCATCTCGACTATCATCATCACTACTATTATACCAATTATCCTTATTTTGTAGAAAGTCCAAAGACTTATCCACAACATCATCCATATTAACTAGACCAAGCAATTGTCTATCTACTACATCATGCAGAGGATGCTTATACCTATCCTTACCACCACCTATCCTATAGGATGATAATGATAAAGGTCCAGGCACCACACTCGTACTACTACTACCATGACCACCATTCTCTATATCATCATCATCATGAGCATCATTCTTATTCTTCTTATCCTGCCCTTCATCATTATCAAGGCTCATAACATCCTTCATATGACGTACTGTAGTATTATTGTTATTGTTGAATGCATTGACTAGTAGAGTATCGAACTTAGTACCCTCATTATAGGATTGTCTAAGCATATAGTAACTACCAATACCCAATAGTAAACTACATAATACATTAAGTAGATATATATAAGAATAGGATGATGTTACTGCAAGATGATGGCAATCGAATGATATAGCTGATGTAATAAACCAGAATATGGATAATAATGCCCATGTCCAAGCCGACATCTGCATATCAGTACCAATATGTCTTATTAACCATTGTTTATTATTCCTCTCTAACCATTGTACTATCTGTGGATCAAATGGTCTTAACATATTCTCAGGATAAGTAGCTATATTGTTATAGTAGCATGCAGTTATCAGTAGTATACCACCTATCATACTACATATACCCATCCCTATTGTTGTAGTAGTAGAGCTCTGGTTGTTATAGGAGAAGGAGAGTGTAATGATAATATCGAATATAGTCGATAATAGATATACAACACTACCTAATAGTAGTGTCTGAGAGGATACCAATAGACCAGTCCCTAGATGTATACTCCAGAATGATGCTTCTGATGATGGATACACTACAGCCTCCTCCTCTTCCTCCTCTTCATCATCATCATTATGATGATGATGATGATTGTGATAGAATGCTGTATAGAGTATCCTATCAGGAGCACTAGCTGTATAACCTTTCCAAGCACCCAAGGATAATAAGGTAAGTGCTATTAGGTACATTATCACATCAACTAGTAGTAGTACCACACCAGTACTATGATCTTGATGATGATAATGTAGTATAACCATAACTAGCCTCCTTAATGCATGTATATCACATATTACAGCGGTTATGAATAATAGAAAACATCCACGTTGTGTATCCGTTCCTAAGAATACTATATCTCCTATTACTATCACTATGGTATTACTACCAAAATACTTTCTACTGAATGATAACGTCTCTGTAGATGTCTGATCCTCTTTAATACTCTTTGATATACCACCCTAATTATGATCATGATGATAACCACAACAACACACCAGCAGCAGCAGCAGCAGTCCTACTCCTATACAGTACCTCTATCGTACTTCTCCCATCATTCTCAACTAGTGATGCTCTTGCCAATAATGGCTCGTTTAATGATGATGAATGGGAAGGAGGCCGACTTGGTGGTGAAGGACGTACTGATGGCATGTGAATAATAATAACTACTATGAAGTAGGATGAGAGTACTAGTCTACTCTGTTACATACTCGGATATTAACACAGGTCAAGGTGTAGGGTATATATTCATCACCAATGCTATATGTACCCCCTTGAGCTCTCCCTTAGCAGGAGGAAGAGGAGGAGGCCACATCTCTATCCACATTGGATGTCTTACAATTTACAACATGTAAAAACGTGTGTAATAGGACTACGGAATGTTATGGTTCATCATTGCCGTTAGTATTACGTATGCATTGAAGTAGTAGTACCCAAACTGCTGCTGCTGCTGGTGGTGCTATAAGGAGAGCGGGCGGCTGCGGCGGCGGCGGACGATTGTAATTAGCGCACGCCCAGAAGTGTAGGTTCTTGCTCCTTCTCCTCTGGAAGGCGACCATGGAGTGATAGTGTGATGATGATTGGTATAGTATTAAAGCACTATTAGTAGTAAACTTATTAAACATTCCATACAGCCATACCAAGCCTGATGACTAGTGCTCCTTCTTTTTCCGAATACCACCATCATCACGACACCTAGTCTCAGACACTCTTGTTGATATGTTATATATATTCATGTAATCATTTAATATTCCATACTCTTATAACTACACAACAGATCGGTATGAAATAGAGGATATGAATAGCAGCAAGAGCAAGATTACTTCAACAATATCTCAGAAGAGTAGTATCTTCTTTACTAACAATAACATCAACATCATCCGTCATCTCCCTCTCTATCCATGGCTTTAATCGTTTTTCTAAATAAGGTCTTTCAGTGGTAGCATGCTCACATAATACCACAACTTTGCCATCTTCTGCAGAGGCTAATACCTCATGATGACTCATTTCCCCCGTCCATAACACATCAGCATTAGTAGGACATATCAGACTACCACCACTACCACAACATACAGCGATAGTCTTGCCTAATACAACAATATCATAATAACAACAACATTCACTATTACTAATAGTACATTGTTTATTATTAATATTCCTACCAGCTACTCTCACTATATCGATACCAAGATGCTTCTTGATACGTTTTATAATCTCCTCTACTGATTGGGGATCTCTCAGTGTCACCAAACGTCCAACCTAATACTCATACTACTATAATGGGTATAACTACTACTACTACTTCGGCTCCTTCAACCTTATCATGCTTCTGAATACCATCCTTATGGGATGTTATATCCTTAAAAGCATCACATAGGTAATCATTGATACCACCAGATGTCGTATCAAGTTGAGTATGAGGGCAATAAAGACTCTTACCTATGATGACTGATAATGACGGGGAAAGATGATATTACGAGTACTACCTCCTCTAGCCAGTATCAATAAAGCACTCTGCATCGGTACACTATTGGTAATAGATTTCAAAGGTCGGAATATAGATGGATGGTATGATAATACTAGATCTACCTATATACATATAATAAAAGCAATATCCGATATCCATTATCATCATACTTCCTTATCAATAGCTTCTTTAGCAACTCTCTGTGTAAGATCATTACATAACATCACTCTGAATGCTGCTCTATTGCACTCTGTGGATGGCTCCATCATAGGGCCCTAAGTAGTAGTAGTGTTGATAGATAGTATTAATGGTAGTACCTCAAGTAGTAAGCCAGTGTTATCCCAAGCCTCAGCTAGTTGTCTAGGGGCTATACGCTCTTCAAAGATGTTTATAAAACGGGATAATCTATTGGGAGTGGACATGATGGTAATGATAATGGAAAACTTAATAAGATGCATCACATTATAGTGAAATAGAGTAAGGTAGTATACTTGTCATTGTGATGATACAATAATACCAACATTATTAAACATCACCACTAGTAGCGTTATAGGTGGAATCTCTTGAACAGCGTGGAGCCCAATGTTGTTGTTGTATAGCCTTTGCTACTGATGACAACGGCGACGGCGGTGGCCCTCTCGAGTATGCCTGTGATTGTTAGCCCTCAGGAGGAGGAGGAGGCTGCTGGTCTTACCTTCCATCATGGATACCCTTGTTAGGCTACTTAATAAAGGTAGTACCACGATTGATGTACTTATGTCAACAACAATAGTAGGATGGTGGAACATGAGGGCTACTACTACTACTACCTGTACTGTCCTCGAGATACTCCTTGTTATAGTGATGTAGTACACAATATATCTGTCTACTTGAGAGGAGGAACCCGTATCGCAACGTAATAATAAGTGATGGCCTGCTCTCATGCTAATCATACTCGTTAGATTATCATCATACCTCCGACATTGATATCATCACTATTGGTGATGATTACCAATATCGAGAACTATTAACACAATAGGATAACTTGTAAGGCGATAAGTACGTAGTAATATGAGCACAATAATGTGATGAGAGGATGACGATGAACAGTGCTACTAGGATGATGATGATGTAATAACCTAATATCATACATAAGCTTAGGTTTATATAAACTAAAATGGAATACTCCGATACTACTATGCTTAGTGACGATAATAAGGGATCCCTTAGGGCAGCAACAAAGAGAGGTCATAAGATAAGCACAACTTAGTAATATGATGATAAGCCTGTTACTACTACTAAGCTTAGGGTGTAGCTAGTGGCGCTAGACGCACCGATATTAGCTCATTCGCTAGGGAATCGAATGTATAACGGATTAATTCATCTCTAAAATGAACCGATCCTAAAATAATACGATTTAACTGTAGTAACAATATCAGAATATTACCACTCCCTTTCCTATCCATCATCCTTATACTCCTCTTAAAGGCAGTAGTATGATGATATGATGATCCATCTTGATGATAGGATGAAGAGCACAATCCTTCTTGTTTCAAGATGCTTCTCATCTGATGTTCTCTTCCACGATGTGGAGGGTGCCTGATTATTGAATATATAACTTCAACCATTCACAATGCTGCTGCCACTTCTATATTACCTAGACATGATAGTAATAGGCGCTTCTAGGCAAGAAAGGAAATAGAAGGATGACATACCAACTACATACGACATCTATTATAGTCCTTATACATCAGTACACAATCAATATACTACCAAGTATTAGTACACAGGGACAGGGACAAGAGGATTCACACAGCTATAGCTCGATCAGTCGGGGAGAAGTTGCAACTACATCTAGACATCATGTACAGATATGTATAGGTACAGTGTCCAAATGCAGCTAAGTAAAATTCTAACGCGGCTAAGTAAAAATAGATGTACTAGTCTGATTTTGACGAAAAGGGCACCACACGTCCTAAGCTTGGAAGTTGGGATCGTATGCATGTGATGTTGTAGAATATGCAGCAATACAAGTGATAGGATGCAAGACTACTGAGGTGCGTAGACCGAACATTGAGGATAGAGAGTGGATTGTATACACGAATATGCATATCCCACAAGTTCATTATGTTCGAACCGTTGGCGTAGTGGAATGCAAAATACATTTATATTTCCGTCATTACGCAGAGAACCGCATAATGCAGCTTGAGGCGTCGTGTTTAATCGACCACGTAGAAGCAATGAATATGAGAACACAACCTTAGACTTAGTTACTGAAAATCAAAACGCACACATCATACTTTAGACTTAATAATTCAATACTACCCACGTAACAAGGCGTAAGTGAGTTCAGACACTACAGCATAAAAAACTAATGACTGAGACTCGATCGAGGCGCAAGGATTGAACCTCATTATTAACAAGGGATATCGGCATTGGAACCAATCTCGTGGAGATTACGACATTTATGATCATCACCGCAATAGCTGAAGATGCAATCGGGACGCTCATCACACATAGTTTGACAATAATCGCCACTTCCACGAAGAAGCTTCTCAGCGATAACAAAGGCCGAACTTGAGGCTTGGATGGAATGGACGAGGATGCTGATGATGGTAATGACCAAGATGATGGAGGACATAGTCAGTTAGAGTGACGAATAAACGTAACAACTACTTACATATTCACGTTTTTCGCAGTACAAGTAATAGCTCATCCTGAACCAGTATTCATCAAACGATACCTACGGACAGTTTCATCAATGAACATGTACACATGTAACGGTTGTCTTTATGTCACAATGGCGAGCGCGGCCGTAGTGGGCGCACTGTCAAGACTACGTAGTACACGCTGTGAACTTGGAACCCAAGAGTGAATGATCACACACGGTAATACCACATGATCATCATCATGGTAGTAAGACGCAGTTTGAGAGCTTCTTATTACCTGCAGTAGCTCGGAGGCTCGCTAGTAATAGTCCCTGTTTGTCGTAGTATCGACAATTCCGAGCATGAAGGCTTGCGTTGGATAATCGCTAAAGGCAGAGTAAATGCACGAGTTTATCGTCGTGGCATCTATCTGGTCGACTGAGTAGCAACATTTGAATAATAACACACCTGTATGCTGCCGTATAGTGTTGTGAACTCGGTTTCGTCAAGTGATGATGATGATGATAATGCATTGAAGCATGAGCAAACTCCCTTCAGTGTCTTATCGTGCTCCAGTTGGAGGCGCATTAATGCCGCAGTTGTACTGTGTCAAGCATGATCCATTGAAAATGACCAAGACCCACCGCATGGCTGTAGCTTTCTCCTCATCGTTTATCCTGTGATGATGATGATGATGATGATGAGAATAGTGCGTTGGAGTGCCGTGCGTCTCGATCTCCGCGGAGATACAGTTATCCACTCCGTCTGTCCGAAGAACCAATAATGTTATCATTATTATCAGAATCACTACTATGGTCCTCCTCTACTCGAGGTTTCTCGAGTGGTGAGAGCGGCGTGGACTCTAATTTCGTGTTCACGTTCTCCTTGTTTTCTTCTGCGATGAGCAAACGAGCCTTTTCCCGATTCGCGAATCTTTGGTATACGAATAGTACCCATTCCAATAGTAGAAGCACAACTCACGAAGACAGTTTGCATCTTGCGTCAGAGACAACATCGGTAGCTTCATCAAGAGGAACTATCTGCGGACCGGTCGAGGAGCATACCACAGAGGCTTCAGTGCGCTTCTTCGCCTCACAAGCCGCCGCGACACGGCTCTTACATAACATGCTATATCTAGGTGTGGCAGCCATTACAAAAACGAGTTCGAGGTAGGCGCGTATAAATTGCCAAATACGCACAGCGACAGCATCAGATAGCTCACCTGTTAGCCTCCAGTCTACGCCTCGATTCCTCATCCACAGCATGACACTCTTCCAACATCATGTTCACAGTAAAAGTCATAACAATGATATCAGTATTAGTTGTAGTACTGTTAACCCAAGACAACACCGAGTGACAGCCAAAATGTGATAGGCCGTTGGCTACTCCGATCACAGTTTATAGAATACGAACAAGGACTCGAGCATGGTATAAACTCAAATCTAACTTACCATCATCATATTGCTGAATCAATACACATACACAAACTAGCAATATCAGTTCTGAATGAACCCATCCTCACCCACGCATAGATGTTTGTGAACTTGCGACTTCCAGTAAGAAAAGTTATCACTTCATGGGGGCTGAAGATACTCGGGAATCCAAGAAACTAGTCACGATGAACTAGTCTAATTCAACTAGATAATTCACACGTGACGAACCCGAATGAATTGAATACACACTCACTGAGATGCCTGTAATCAAATGTTGATGTAGCCTACTATCTGTCAATTAAATAGAGACACTTCAACACTTACCACTCTGATACGTCTAAACTCACTTCGAAAGACATGATACGCATAGGGAACTCAAAAAGTACCTAAACTCTTAATAGTGTAACCGATGACAGAACCTTACCATCACTCGACCACGTAGAAGCAATGAATATGAGAACACAACCTTGGACTTAGTTACTGAGAATTAAAACGCACATATCATACTTTAGACTTAATAATTCAATACTATCCACATAACAATGCGTGAACAAGTTCAGACACTACAACATAAAAAACTAATGACTGAGACTCGATCGAGTTGCAAGGATTGAACCTCATTATTAACAAGGGATATCGGCATTGGAAACAATCTCGTGGAGATTATGACATATATGATCATCACCGCAATAGCTGAAGATGCAATCGGGACGCTCATCACAAATAGTTTGACAATGATCGCCACTTCCACGAAGGAGCTTCTCAGCGATAACAAAGGCCGAACTTGAGGCTTGGATGGAATGGACGAGGATGCTGATGATGGTAATGACCAAGATGATGGAGGACATAGTCAATTAGAGGGACGAATAAACGTAACAACTACTCACATATTCACACCCTACGCAGTACAAGTTATAGCTCATCCTGAACCAGTATTCATCAAACGATACCTACGGACAGTTTCATCAATGAACATGTACACATGTAACGGTTGTCTATATGTCACAATGGCGAGCGCCA